GACGCTTTGGCTGGACACCATACATTTCTTTGTAATTTTGGCATGGTTTGAATGACCTTAACTTTATCAATTGCTATAAGTTCAAACATCATGAAACTTAGTCAGTAAGCCTTTTATAAGGTGCTCTTTCACATGATGGGGTTATTCTTTCTGGAACCATTATTTAATTAGATTTGGAAGTTCGTACCCATGCCAGTCCCTTTTTCGTTTTGTTATCGGCCAATTTGTATAACCCCTTTTTGACCACTCACATAAAAAGGCCGGAAGAAGTCTTTGTCAAAAAAATTCTGAAAATGGCCCCTAAACGGGTATTTGGATGAAATGGGCATGCCGACAAAATGTCCTCCCTAAGAGGGACGAACTAATAATGTATCATTTTAATTAGTGCTTCACGTTTCTTGATTTTACTCTCATTGTTACGCTGCAATAAAACACTCTCGACAATAGACAAACTAAAACGATGTAAACAATCGTGTATTAGCAAAAACTATAAAACTGATATAGACTGACATAAAGCCTATTATTAATTTCAGCCACATGATTAATCTTAGTCTAGCTCATTTCAGCATTGTCAAGGCCCATGAAGCAAAAACATAACATTGATTTTGTATCTGAATTTAACTCGACTCTGAGCTGGAACTGAGGTCCATTCCTTGTGCCTGTGCGCTCTTGTTTAGGTATTTCATATGGAGTTTTGCTGCTTTCAAGCCAAGGTACATTTAGCTGATCGGCTTTCTTTGTTAAAGATTTTGCCTTTACTCCTTTCTTGAGTATGCTTTTAGCTGCTTTTTCCCCTTCTTTGTCTTTTTGTCTACTTTCTCAGTCATCATCTCGGCATMATCGGTGTCGTCGCTTTCTGCGTCATCTTCTGCTTCTGATTGAGCAAATTTTTCATCGTCTGACTGAAGAGTATCGTAACTTGTTACTGGTYGGTCTAGCTGATCTACTTCACTATCAGAACTCGGTGAATTACAAAGAGGATCGCCTTTGTCCTGTGCTTTAACATTCTTCATTGTCACTATTAAATCTTCGGCAGTCATGTTGTTCATGCTTTGGGCGTTTCGTTCGCATATTTCTGGCGCATCTCTTACTTTCCTGTCTATGTTTGACAAACGGTTTCTGATGGGCTTGACAGCATCTTTGTTGCTTATGTTTTTAAACGCAGTTACATACTTCTGCTTGTTTTCTTCCATTAGTAAATCCTTGTGCTTTAAAAAGAAGCTTAAAATTTTTCCCCAATCATTCCCACTTTTGCCATTGCCTGTCGATATAAAATTCTTTCTGAATCTGATATCACGTCTTTTCTAGAATGTGCTCCGCTCTGACTACTTTTAGTTCGTTGTTCTATAATGTAAGAGAAATAACATCACTCATAAATCATTCAAAAACGTTTTGACTAGTATGAGCAGTTATTACAACAATTTACGCGATTAATATTCAAGTAACTTACCATTTATGGTAGACTTTTCCACATTCATCTTTAATGCTTGACCAAGAAGAACAAATTGATGCAAACGAAGCGCAAATGACATTATGTCTGGAATGCTACTGAATACTGACGTTTTGAATTTGGCACGTGTCAATATKCTACGTTTAGCACGGGGAAATGTACACATAATCAGCACGGCTATAGAAACATTCATTAACATACAAAAAACAGACCCCTATGTTTTTATGTGTGAAAAACAGAGGATTTAGAAAAACCCTAATAGTTTCTTTGGAAAAACATTTAATAAAAGCAAAATAAAAGTTGTTAGCAGGTAAATTTTGCAAAAAAGTGTACATCAGAACATGCACAAACAAAGTCACCATTCAAATGCGACTGTCTGCATGGTAACTAAACTGTAGTATTGCTATTTGCGGGAACAATTCACATATTTAGTCCTGTTTAAGTGCAAGRATGAATTTCTTTATGATTATTGCTGAAGTATTGATTTTGTACTCAACAATACTATTGCAATACTATTACAATATAGTAAGACGAGTGATATACTATCACAATACAAGTTAGTCTCCTATCGCAATACTATTACAATATAGTAAGACGAGTGATATACTATCACAATACAAGTTAGTCTCCTATCGCAATACTATTGCAATAGTTTGAAATTTATTGTGATGCTATGATCATGATAGGCAMAAACTGCTCAATAGTCACCACTAGATGAAATACTGCCAATTTATTGTTCATTTAACTCATCAGTGTGATGAAGTTGGGCTTGTTGCCTATAAATGTCACCACAAGGGACGCCTCTCCCTTGTACAATGGGTAACCACAGCAGTGCTGACATGACTCAAGGGAAATGATACTTAACTAGCAGTGAACTTAGTTACACAAAAGTGGGAGGAGAGGATTAATCATGATCAATCAAGCAAGAAAATTAATGCAAATGAATCAGCTATTGAACAATATAAATTGTCAATGTTATACCTTGTGGAAGACTTGTCAGTTTGTTGTTGCTTAAGTTAAGATCTTCCAACACTGAAAAAAATTAATCAAATATAATACATAAACCAAAATGCTTTGATTGCCATGAAAATGATAGTTGTTATAAAGTAGTAATTTTTTTATTATATTTTTTTTTTACTTTTTAGAAATTTCATTGTATGATAGGTAAAACATATATTCATTATGAGCAAAAGATAGATATTATAATTTATATAAGACTGATAATTATCTCAATGAGTAGAATGATAAGAAATTGCTTAATTGATATAAATCAAAAACACAACCCCATTGAATTCATGCTATAGTCATAGCGGCCCTTTAATCACAACACATGCTTCACTGAACTACACCAGGAATAAATCACGATACTAGCTCAATAACCTTGATATGTGAACTCACTACACTTACATTTGACACTTCCAATTCCAACAGGCAATGTTTCCACACAATTATTTGAAAGATTCAGGTTCCGTAGACTGCCAAGTCTTGAAATATTGGATGGAACAGCTATAACCTTGTTGTTTGATAAATCCTTGAAATTACAAATTCATGATTAAGAATATAATTTAGTTCTATAATAACATATTAATACATTATTAATTATTATTAATTTTGGCAGAATTCTGAGAAGGCTATAGACTTTATATTAAATTTCTAGGAATGCTTGCTGCCGCAGCCTGTCATCTTTTCCCAGAATTCATTGCGCGCAAGAATCCGGTTGCACATCTTCTGAATCAGTGTCCAAAGAGAAAGCGGTAGCATATAAGATGTTCGTGGAAAATTGAAAAAATAAAACGCTGAAATAAGAGAACTAAGACAGAATTTTGGTACTTGTTTGTAAACAGTTGTAATATATTTYGCTTGTTTAAATCTAGAATTTTGTGGGGAAAATCACAACAAAATGTGGTCTTGTTGTTTGAGCRTTGTATACCAATTTTAATTCTGTGATATAAATTATCATCTTTSGTACCCTTGCCAATTGTCAAAATTATTTTTTAATCTTACACTGAAAGACGAATCCCATAGTGGGACCAAAAGGTAAGGTTCTATTGTACTATACTACATACCAAGTCCTCAAGATGAATGAGTTCACCAAGCCAGTCACCAATTGATTGCAAAGAATTGTGTTGAATCTTCAAAGAACACAGGTTTGACAAATGTCCAATTTCTGGTCGTAAGCATGTAAGCTTGTTGTGACTGTTTACGACAAAAAAAAAAGAAATCTTAGTATAGTGAAATTGCCAAAGTGCAAAATGACAAATAACTACAATAAGGATAGCCTGTGTACATCCGTTTCTCACCCCTCCAAAAAAATCGGTGAGAGATCACAGACATTCTCTCCCTGACGTTTTTGGAGGGGTGAGAAGCGGATGTACACAGGCTACAGTACGGAAATTTTTTCAGTAATTACCTCAGATTTAATCGTTTGATATTTTCCAATGATCCAATTTCTTTAGGTAAAGACTCAATCACGTTGTCATGTATCTAACAGCAAATTACATTGATACTACACATGTAAATTATGGGGTCCAATATGCGCTGCTACTTTCCACGGGGATCATTCATACAAATTGTGAATTTCCAGGATTCAAAATAGCAGACCAGTTATAGCMAGTAATTTCAGTGATTTTTTATTATAATATCATTCACACAAAATGTCAGTTCCTTATGTACGACAGATGTCTATGTAGCTTTGGTTACCAATACTCACATCAATGGTTATTGCTTTTGATATAAGGAACTGTTTATCAATTATTATTGTCAAGAGTGATGCCACTAAAATATGAAAAATTACAGTGCAAATCCAAAAGCCATGACCGCCTAGAATTATTTCAGGAATGTGTACTTTTTGGTGACAAACTTAAAAATAGAAAAACTTTGTGTTTTTTCTAAACGAAATGTGCTTTTACCACAGGTAGCCCAAGCACTGGACTTGGCAGAGTTTCACCTCATTATATGGTAAAATTTCCCCTTCTTTAATACATAATGAGTTGAAACTTCACAGGGGTGTTAAGAAAAATAAGAAGAACACTATGTTCTATTTTGAAATAATTTTATGCAGTTTTTTTCACTTTCGTTTTTCTCTCAATGAAAGCCTACCAAGTCCAGTGCTGTTTTTTGGTGATAAACTAGTTTTACTTATTTGTAATATTGAAGTTTTGATCAAATCTGCACATAAAAATGCACTTAGATGATGGTCAGTCTTGCTTCTGATTGGGCAACGAACAATAAACATTCCCAAAATATTTCTATCYGGTCACAGCTTTTTGATTTGCACTGTAAAAAAACGTAAGACTTACCTACTATTAGGGTTCTTAACAAAAAATTACACCCCTTCCCAATTATTTTACCAAAGGAAAATGTACCCACTTCATTACCAGTCTGTAAAGGAAAAGTGTCCCCCCCCCTCCCCCTCCTCCATCTTGGTGATAAATTACAGGTCTACTTCCAACGAAAATTGCAAAACATTAGAAGACTTGCAAATCAAATACACCTATCAATATGGGTCTAATAATCATGAAGCAACAGATTTCAAGAATATATTGATACAAATCCTTAATATTTTGGGCAAAAAGTTAAGCTAAATATGTCAGACTCACGTCTAGAAATTCCAAAGCCGGAAGATTGGCAATTTCGCTTGACAATGCAGTTAGTTTGTTTGAAGCTAAAATCAACTTAGTTAAGTCAATTTGGTCCCACCATTTCTCGTGTGTTGAGTCTAAAGAGACATTTTTAGCCTCTGTAGGCAGATCTATGTTGATATTCCATACTTTCTTCGGCACTTCGACTAACTGACGGTTTGACAAGTTCAGTTGCCCGCTTCTTCTCGCCTGTCCCAAAAGTGCGTCAGAAACATCGCTTTTATCTTGAATATCCAGTCCTCTTCCCTTGAAAGCAGGATTTACAGGCCTTCGTTTCATCTTCGCATGCCAAACAACACCTATAAACAACTTCAATATCAAGGTAAGCAATCACTTGCGATCACTTGCCGAGTAGAGGCCAAGAGGCCATGCTTACCGACACAGGGAGACCAAACATTTATACACAGGAGCCCCAATAACAGGCCCGATGTGGAGCGGGAAGAAGCTAGTTAGTAAGAGGGATAAAAGTTGGGCTGAAAATGGAAGGCAAACAAGACTGGACAGAAGACTCTTACTACAAAGCTCCAGTAGAAAGTATAGAAGCATTGGAGTTACATTTTAAGGTAAAAAACATAACTCCTTAGACTTTGGTGGCCCAAAAACCTTCTCAGAAAGACAAGAGCCGTCCTCCCCACCCATTGATTTCTATTGAACACATGGAGTGCCCTGCCCTAAGGTTGGATGGAAGTTATAATAAAGGAATGCTGCCAGTAGTATTCATATATTTGTTAAGGCAAAACATTGCTGTACATTCTCAGCCAATTTTTGCAGGTAATGAATCTTCAAAAACCACACCGTGTTATAAAATGAAAAAAAACTTTTATACCTCAAGCACCTTACAAAGTCCGTCAATATTCATAATTCAACATATTCAGTACATAACAAACTTAGTATCCACAGGAATGTTCTCAATTTGGGATGGGAGTACTGTTTACATGTTATTCTGCTGTAATTATGACTGTTAAATGACAAACAAAACACCAACACATCACTGACATTAAAAAACACTAAAAAAACACCCTAATACTTTGTAGGAACACATCACTGACATCAACACTAAAAAAGCACCCTAAATACTTTGTAGGAACACATCACTGACATAATCACCCAAAAAACATCCTAAATACTTTGTAGGAACACATCACTGACATAAACTGAAAAAAAAAAAACCCTAAATATTTTGTAGGAACACATCACTGACATAAACACTAAAAAAAACCCTAAATACTTTGTAGTCCAACACATCACTGACATAAACACTGGGTATAGCATTGTCCCATCCTGAAATGAGCTTGAAGCATACTGTAGCCTGGGTGAAGGGTATGACAGCTCAGTAATGCCAGCTGTGATGCTCAAGCAGGAGACTGGGTACAAGTTTTAAAATTTATTGCCATGTGAACTATATAATCTTTAAAAGCACATCAAACTTAATAAAAAGGTTTTGTGGAAATAGGAATATTTCAAAAATTACAGCTATTCAAAAACTCTCTTATTTAAACAAGTCTCTTTGATTGTGGAGAATGCTTTCCCTAAAGTCCATACATTCCTTTGGAAATTTAGTATTTGTTAACAGCTGTTAGCTCCTCCATTTCCACCCAGACAACACCAACCTCTAGGATCTTATTGATTATGCATTATTTAAGGCTGTATATGTGAAATGGCAATTTTTCTGCGGTTTTATCACTTGTACCAATTTAGTCTCTTCCTTGATCATTAAAAGCTGCAAATAACAATTACAACCAATTGGGCACTTAACCATATATAATTCTTATGTGCTGTCTTATAAATTCTTTCTGTGTATGTCTTTTGATACAACTATTTTAAATGCCATAATGTAAACATACTAAAATATGTAATTTGAATTATTGGGCTATTTAACAATTGTCTCCTTTTAACTGCGCTATCTTGAAAGTTTGCCGTGCCTTTGCATCAAAGTAAGACAACCGTTGAGCGTGCAATGATAGATACCTGTGAATAATTGTTGTATGGTGTGAAAGAAGGTTTCTATCATAATTGCATGCTCAACGATCTTCTCACTTCAATGCAAAGGTACGCCTACCTTTCAAGAGGGCACAGGGAACCGTGAAGGAGACAATTAGACCTCGAGGGCGAGTGGACTATGAGCTGATACCCATGAGGCAGAAGGCCGGATAGGCTATCAGTTTGTAGCCCACGTGGCCGAGAGGTCTAATTGTTTTACTATTTCCATACTAGTTGGACAAATAAATGAATGAAATATATAGATAACAAAATTGTTTTATTGCTAAAACTTCACGCTAACGGCTCAATTAAATTTCCATAAATCATTGCTGACTTCGTTTGACACGCTTGGCATGTTTGACAAGTAAAAATCAATTTACTACATGCTGGTGAAAGCTGGTGTGAGTAAAAAATAAATAAAATGGTCCTTAACACATTGTTTTGACCCACAATATTTCTATAAGAAAATCAAAATTGGCACTTTTTACTTGTTGAGGACTATTGAAAATAGACCCTGAGTAGCATAGCCAATCATAACGAAGGATTTTCTATAGTACACTAGTATACAATGCTGTTCTTGGCTGTATCAAATAGATTTTGAATTGAACAAATTCACAATAATCATTGTTATTTTGAATTTCCCTCCAGTTCAGAAAAATGTAATCTCTTTGAAATTAGGGGCCTGGTGCCAATTTGACATCTACTAAGGAATGGTCTCTCACATTTCCGGAGCCTTTCAAAGTAAATGGTGAAGATTTAAAGSTATTCATTCCTCTTATGAACTTCTTTGAATTACAAGCCAACTTTCAACAATTCTTAGTTGAAATATCAATAAGTGATGTGAGAATTTTGGCTCCTTAGTAGACGTCATACTAACTCTATGATAGTCCGTGGCCATTTCGGAATTATCAAAAATTTCATAACTGTAATGTTTCACAAAAAAAAAACTTTTAACTGTTATCCATGAAGGCACCAAACAATATTCTATTTTTCCACGGTGGTTTCACTCATTTTTTGAAAAAATAGAGTTCATTTGCAGTTTAAATATGTTGAATCATTGATGAATCAGTTTAAAATGTGTTTCAACATCTGTTCAAAATTTCTTTTGTTGTCAAAATCATTGAATCATGTTGAAGCAGTTTGCATGGTCATTTCAAAAATGTAGTACAAGCTACTGTGCAGTATTCAMYCTAGTTGCCGTTAAAACATGTTGAAATTCCTCTGCAAACACTTTCCACATTGCCATTCAACAAAATCAAATATTGAAGCAAAAAGCTAAAAAACAAATGTACACTATTAAAAAGTGCTTGTTAGTAAAATGTTTTGCATCCAGTAAGACCTGTTTATTATACACTCTGACTTATACCTCGAGCTGTTACATGCCTCTTAAACAATGTGTAAATCAAGCCCTCAAATCATTACAAGTACCTGAAGGTGCAAGCACATTTTGTTTCTGATATACAACCCTGTTATGTCTAGTAAATCAAGTCAACAACTTGTTACAACTAGTACTCCTAGTACTTAAGTCATGCTGCTTTGTCACACATTGCATTAAACAAGTCTACTATATATCTGCATCTCCCCATGTTGTGCTGTAAAAAAGCTGGTCAAGGCTTCAATCTATAAGTCAAGTTTACATATGATGAAGCTAATTSTATATGGAAGTTGCAGGCAAAAGTAGTTGTATGAAAACACTAAATTACATACATGTTCCTACACAGATTACTCTAACTATAATACATTATGGTTATCAAAACTGCTTTTATATATTTACAAAAGTGATTACCAGCCTTGTGGCAAATATGCTGTGTTAAAAATATCTGAATGATTTTAACAACTATTTGTTCAAGCTAGTTCATGTGTTGCTATTTTCTGTGGTGTGCAGTGTATGTGGGTGTGCAAGTGTTGTATATACATCATGCATGGGTGGGTTTTCTTTAAAAATATTGATACAATGGATAAACTTTTGATACAAAGGAATAAAGTTAACCTTTGTGTACAATTTTTTTAAGAAATGAACACACCAAGTCACTAAAATTGCAAATAAAATAATGAAAATCCGTTCTATTTCCTTGAGAATCAAGTGGAATTTATCGACCTATAAACATACTAAAAACTGACCAAAATAACATAAGTTATATAAGCTTATGCTTACTAAAAAACTTAAATATGTAAAAGTAAAAAAGACAGTTATATAATCACAAAGTAAACACTAAAGCTAAACACGTTACCTTCGTCTAATCATTTCAGATAACGACTTTTCGAGCTATTAATAAAATAGTCTGGCCACGCTTACAAGCAATCAAGCTCAATACCGTTCTTGGAGTTTATCTTTCTTCTCTTGTAAGTCTGAAGTTCTTGTAGTAAGGTGGATTGATAAGATCATGTAGACGAAATCTATCTCTAATATGTAGACGAACATCTTCTTTTCGATTAGCTAGATCCTCAAGGAAAGGCAGTAACTCCATTAATTCACGATCGTTTTGATCAACAAACCAGCTCTCAATTGGGATACCATTAAAAATATGATAAGCAAACGCTTGTGGCGAGTTATCAACAATCATAGTTTTTGATAAATCCCTTCCCAAGATACTTAGATCTTTGATGTAGTTGCCCTGTACACAAACACAGTGTTCACGGAAAAGACGGTGCCGAAAATACTTTCGATCAGGGTCCAAAATGTTCAACAACTTGTCAGCATAAACGCGCTTGGATGCTGTAAATAGAATAACTTCGAACGACTTCGAAACACGCTCGAGAAAATACTTTAGATGAGGCCTTGTTCTGACAAACACTTGGTAGGAGATGTTTTGATACAAAACTGGAAAAGAAAGCGTGGCATCGTCAAGCTTGTTGAGGCTGCAGTGAACCAAGGTTTCATCTAAGTCCAACACAAGACTCAATTTCGGCGTGCTTCGAGTTTTCAAAGGCAAAACGGGAGGTCGGCATTTCATTTCCTCGGTGAGTGGAGGAACGGTTCGTATGAAGTAGAATGGGTCAAACGTCTCCCATTCGGAGCTTTCATCATCAACATTCCCATTCACATCGCCATTACAAGTGGATGGCGAAAGAGCAACTTTAGTAGCTTCACCGTTAACGCTTGGCTGTGCTTCGTMTTCGGTCGTTACGACGCCATTGCAGACTTCATGCTTCGTATCTCCCTTTTCTTCATTTGTTACTGTTTGAACTTGACCATTTTTACCAAACAGAGTAAACATAGGCGAAAACAATGTCCCTAATAAAGATTTCCTTTTAGGACTGGAATCTGAGGCGCTACTCTCATGGGATGAAGTATTTGTAAATTTACTTGAAGATTGGCTTGTCTCCGTAGTAAATTTTCTTTTCTTCAACAAATTTGATGTTATGATAGCATCTTCTTGGTCTTCGATATCAGATTCTTCCCTCTGCCTCTTTGGAGGACGTTTCTCTTCGTCTTTCGCAGGAGACGACCATAACAAAGTCTTAATTGAAGTCAAAAAGTTTTGGCTTGCACTCGTCGTAGTGCTAGAAGCTTGTATGCTTCCCGCTCTCATGTTTTGCACTCTACTGGGCTTTCGCCGTCTTGGCATTTGGGCTAATTCTTTCAAAATCTAAAAGCCGTCGCTATAAATTATCGACTCAATTGATCCAAAAAAGCTCTGAAACGTTAAAATCTGGGCTGAAAACAAAATTTACGGATCAAAGTTTGTTGTAAATTACGAGCGAACGTAGCGAGTACACACAGCCCGATGACAGCCCCAGTGACACGTCGTGTTGGTTGATTGCACATTTTATGTAAATGTCAAAACTGATTCTCCACAATTTGCATACGGTTTCAGCATTAATTTTTATCCCAACAAAGCAACACTTCAGAACACTAAAACACTACAGCAAACCATTGATGTTTATTTAAATAACTTTAGTAAACCTATTCTATTATAACCCAAACAGAACCGAAGAAAGTGAAGAGATTAATTTTCAGTGATTCGTGCGAAAACCACGTGAGGGTAATTGACACCTACCGGAAGTCAGTTTCGCGCTTCGGCGCGCCGAAGTCGGAACGCATACCATGAAATTGCATTTTTGAACGAAAATGCGTCGTAACAAGTTCAAAAGAAATGATATGATACTTCGTGGCGACTTACAAGAATTATAAGTTTTGAAGCAATTGGTTGTAAATATAATTCTGCCTTCATCATCATTGAATTACACCTTGTGACCAGATGGTCGAGGTAGACATGAATTACCAATTGAATAAGATTGTAATGTGATATTAAAAAGTAGCCACAACAACATTATAATAAATTCACAAATACATGCCACATCGGCGTGTTCGTTTGTTCAGGGGTCCAGGTAAACAACCGGAATACTTTTTGCTCTTCCATCATACCCTATATAGTCAATATTTCCCTTACTAGTTCTTTAGTTGGAGTACAGTTTCTTTCTCTTTCTTTTTGTATTCACATTGACGTCTCTATTTCTCTATCTTCCGTTCGCACTATGTATTTATATTCGTTTTTCAGTTACCTCATAATCCATATTTATCCTTTCTTTTCACGTAGTCTTTTCTGATCTTCCTTTCTACTTTCTCTTCATTATGTACATTTGAACGCCCCATCGAAGAGGGAGCCCAATCCCATGATAACGATTAATGTACCCTACCCTGGTCCCAGAGGTTTTCTTTTCTCTTCTTTTCTAGATGTTTTTTATCGTATTTTTGTCTTTGTTTTTTATATTTAACGTCGTCGTTTTCTTCTTGCGACGTTAAATATAAAAAACAAAGACAAAAATACGATAAAAAACATCTAGAAAAGAAGAGAAAAGAAAACCTCTGGGACCAGGGTATTTTCTGCAATGAAGAACCTGAAGTTCTTCATTACCAAGCCCACGAGGGAAAGGGGAGGAATCCCAGAGTCCTAAAGATCAATCAACAGACAATGTTTTGTATGCTCAGTACTTTAATAAAACGCAACAGTAGTCTTAATAGTACAACATCTGAAGAAAGCGCTACTGAAATAGTTTTTTAGCTTAGTTCGTCATACCATGTACCATATCAACTGATTGTTTAAGATAGTGAAGTTTCCATAAAAATAAATACGATTTAAAAAGAATCATTATTCACTATGAGCCTAGTCCTAGAACGGACTAAATTCAATCACGTCACGGTCCCCGCATAGCTACCGTCGAAGGCGTTTTGATAAGACGAAAATAATCAAACATAACTAAAATGAAACTTAAAAGATAAATGAACTAAAACTACATAAGGATGTGTTTCTAATCATAGGTTTACGCATGTGTCATTTATACATTTCCTTGTGGACCTGTGCGGGTTCCGTAACACTGGTGTCACATGGACTGACTTTGTCTGGAGAAAAAAAGAAAACATTGTGTGTAAGCAGAAATAATTTTACTTAGCAAAAATCGTTTTTGTTCATAACAATCATTTTCTCGAACAGTCATAATCGTTATCGCTATATGAAGTTTTTTCTAAAGTATCATTTGTAATTTGTTTCTTACCATTTTCAGCACTTGTGATGTTCGTTGATCTTGCAGATGGGGCGTCCCTCACCGACACGTCCACGCGCACAGAAACATTCTTTGCACATCACCTGATCTCGTTTGATTTGTTCTTTCAAACTGTACATAAACGATTCCCTCATGGTCGAGGCGCGTTTTCGCGAATCTGAGCCAAACGATGTGATGCTGAAAGCAGATCCTTTAGTGTTCTTCATTAGTTCCATGAATTCACCCTCTGGTAGAGGTGCGCCGAGCTTGGAACCTTGGGTCATCTTTCGGTAAAAGACTCTACCGTTGTAGTCCTGACCGTTGATGTCTCTTACGTATTTTTGGTACTTTCCAATGATGTTTAATGTTATGTCTTGCATTTGGAGTTTTTCGGTCATTCGTCGCAGACAAGGAGCATGTTCGTGAGCAATACGTTCAGATGTGGTCCACAAGACGACTATCTTAGTGGCGGCAGCTCGGAATGGGTACCTGGATGCCATTGCAATGCCCTCGAATCCGTCGGTCTCGTTATCTGAAGTTTTTGAGAATCTGAGATGTTCGACTGCGTACTTTACTTCTTCTGCTGTTCCCAGGAATTTACCGTTCATGGTAACTTGGTGTGGATGAGCATGGATTCCTCGTCCACCAAAGCTTACTAGCCCAAATCGGATAGAGTACTTGTCAAGATCTTCTTGGATTTGACGTACATATTCGGGTATTTTTAGGGCGAAACCTTTCATTCCTTCAGTCTCGGGAACAACAAGAATTATGTCGACTTGATTATTGGCTGATTGGCGCCATCTTCTTCCTAAATCGTTGTTTCCACAACGCCCTAAAAAGAAAGTTATACTTAATTAGACTTAATCCTATGCGATTTATATAGTGATGTTTAATCAAATATTTAATTCGGTACAGGCAGTAAATACAATTTTATGAAAATTAGTAATCCACACTTTACTTACCACATTCAGGAAGATAATCAACCCATTTCCCCTTCATTCTCAGCATCTCGACGTATGTAGCCGTTACATTGCAGTGTTTCATGTCCTTAGGGGCTTTGGTGTCACAGTTGTGGTAGTCTTGTTCACAGGCCAGTTTGAATGGCTTCGGATTGATAGTCTCAAAGAACGGAGCCAAAGGCGATTTGAGATCCTTAAAAAGATCGCTGCAGCGATGGATGTACTTGCTACCACGACACTATAAGTGAGACAAAACAAGCTGTTTTCATTGTGCGGCCATTGATTGATTAAAGTAAGTAGATCAACCATAGAAATTGGTTATCTCAGATAAAAATCCATGATAAATGATAATTGATATTCTAGTTATTTCGTTGAAGGAGATTTGAGAATTGTATTGTCTATGGCTCGTCCTATTTACCATGAAGATTACCTTTTTAGGCTTGATCTCCCTCGTTATCTGGCACTTGGGATCCTTAGTAGCTTCCCAAGAGTTAACAAAGTCAATCAACTCTTCTGTTATTTTTCCATTGGACTTCATCATGTCATCATGACCTTCATTGTTGTTGGTTCCAAGTAATCCCACAAGACGGCCGTGGTACCATTTGGCGATGTTAAATGTGCACAGGTAATGCTCCACATCACAGAGAATCTCAATTCCAAGAGTGTGACGTAGTACTACGTATGGTCCCTCGCGGAACACAGTCATGTTTCGTGATTGGACTGGAAGTTCACTATCATATCCATCGTGGGTCTTCTCGCCGTCGACAGTGATCTTTGTCATTGTCTCTACTTTGCCATCGGAATGGATCTAAGTCCAGACAAAAACATAAATACGTTACCATTATAACAAGAAAAGAACTATAAATATATTCGTCTACTGAGTAATGATATAAAACTAATAATGATATGAACATTCAATGACATAACACTTCTAGTTTGAACGAACTAGTTCGTTGCGCTGAATCCTATTGGTCGACCTTTTAAAACACCATCGGCGACTGCGTAACATAAAATGATCGTCTTCAGTTACTCAAAGTCCCAGCCAATAATATCAAAATACCTTGACATTGGCGTCTTCAGATTTGAAAAGCAGGGCAGTTTCTTGACTCATCAATGTGAATTTGTCGTCACGGGCGTCCTGCGCTAAGACATATGTGCAACGTTCGTTCTTGTATCCTGGGAATCTGAAGTATTGGCTGTCGAAAGTGTAGACATGGTCCTTTCCAAATATGACTGCAGTACCTTAAGACGCAAATCATTTAAAACTATGATCAGAATAGTAATAAAGACATTTTGATCACATTATAACCTAGTATGCCATAATCTAACAATGGTAAGGATAATCGAGTACATGATATCACTGACCAAAGTTATAATGAGATGCTCATGATATATAAAAGTGTTCATGATTAGTCATACTTACTGTTGAATGGTGGAATCCAGTTCATTGGGTTAACAAGGTTCTTCATGTGATGTACTTTATGGGCAAATCTATGCCTCCAGTACTTCTTAATGTGATGGAAGTGACGGATACGTGACTCGACCATCTCCATAGAGTGACTATAGTACCTACGAGCATGGGTTAATGACTTCTGGGTAATCTTATGTTTGTAGATCTTCTCGTATAGAGCACGCGCAGTTTTGTCAACGTCAGCATACTTGGCCATGATCTGCTTGTACAGGATGCGATAAAGCTTCATCGTCTCGTTGTAAGCTTTAGTTGAGTGGTTCTTTGCCTTAAGGAGTGCTTCACGTAGGTTTGTCGAGTTGAAGATATCAATCGAAATATTAAATGCAAGTTTAGCTACATTGATGGTGAAGTTCCTAGTGGAGATGTAACTATCCTTACAGATATCTTTTGTCATGTTCAATGCTAGAGGGACATATCGCTTGGTTATGTTTGCAATCTTTGTCAAGTTGATCTTATTGATGAATGTGCCAGTCACGTTGATGAAGTGGAGAGTCGAGTTGACATAGTCTTGAATAAATGGATGATCTTTAGTCATGTTCAACCATTTCATAGACACATTCTTTGCCTTGCTAATTGCAATCTGTGTTCTGAAATAAATGAAAGCTTTTTGTTTGTTGATGTAAGCTTTCACTTTTTCAACCTTTGGTTGGTGCGTCTTAATGAGCATCCGGTAGTGCTGGATTGTTGTGTTGTAAATCCTTACAGTGTAGTTCCTGACTTTCATAAGGGCGTGTCTTGGTGAAGTTGAGTTGTACAAGTCAGCGGTAATGTTCCATGCAATGTTGGTGAACTTCATGGTGTAGTTACGAGTCACGTTATATCCCATTTTCATCATCTCCTTCGTCATATTGTAAGCAATTGGCGCATACGACTTCGTCAAAGTGGCAATCTTTTTGAAGTCAAGGTCTTTAAGATACTTGCGAGTTTTCTCGATGTACATCTTTGTTTGTGCAATGTACCTCTTAACGATGGGGGAGTTCTTTACTTTCATAGCCAGCTCCTTCACATTGATGTCTTTAACGTATTTGTTTGTTTCTCTCAAGAATTCAATGGAAGCGTCCAAGTATTTCTTCGCCAAAGGATGCTTTTTAGCTGCGGTGACGAGTTTCATAATAGTTGCATGAACCTTCTGGTATACAGGTGACTGCGTTGCCTTCTCCATCAACTTTTTGGACATCAACAAAGCTTTGTTCGCATAAGTCTTGGATGTTGCAAGAGCTTGGCGAGCCATCTTCGAAGTTTCTTCAGGTAATTTTTTGACTTTCTCACAGGCATCTTGGCAGATGGAAACTATGTCTCCTTTCACTGGTTTTGGATGTGGAATGATGATGGCAATGACACCTTTTTCAATAAGGATGTAATTCTTTAATTCTGGCATTGATCTTTTGAGTCTGAACATTGTTGAGTTTACGTATCCAATGGAATAGTGTACAAACCTATAGACACAGTAAAAATCATTAGTTTAGTTGAAAAAATGTCAAACCATAAAATAACAATAGATATAAAAAAACCTGAAGCAGCGGAAATGCCACTCGGTTACATCTCTTCCATGACCAATCATATATTATAATACTTATTACGTACCTGATTGTTTTGTTGACGAGTTCAAGGGCTTCGTAAGCCGACGTCTTTGCAAGACCAGGAAGAGTCTTCAAGAATTCCTCTGAATCGTTTTGCATCTTAGCATAATGTCGCATTAGAGTCTTATTCAGTTTTTGGTAATGGAAATGGAACTTCTTGTAATGATGCTTGACTCGTTCACGAAGAAGATCTTCAATACCGTAGTATTTATCGATAAAAATTATGGTCTCGATAATTTCATTCTTTGTGAAATTCAATACTGGTAAAATAGGCTTCATAGATTCGATTGTAAGCTTGACGGTTGTGTTCAAAAACTTGTTAAGTTGAATCTTGGCGGCATTGAGCTTCTTTAGTCCCTCTTTGTATGCAAGCTTGCTGAGGTTCATTGCTTTCTTTGCGGTTTCAAGCGAAAAGTTGTAAGCAGCGAGAGTGATGTTTCGCATCTTCAAGACTGTATGGCGTGGGGTGCTCTTGCTGGCGTTGCGAAGAAGCATAACTGTAAAGTTGTAACTTTCAATAGTGAAGTTGTATGCATGGCTAGTCAGGATGCGTTTTGTGATGTTGTTACCCATTTCACTAACCATTTTTCTGTATTTATGGTACATCGGGATAACCTTGTTTTGATAGAACGGAATGACTTTGTTCTTGTAGTATGGAACAACTTTCACCTTGTATATTTCGATGTACCTCTCAGCTGTCTTATTCATCCATACCTTAGTGACATTAACTTGAACCGAAGTCCAGTTGCGGGCAATTCGATAGTACTTGATGGTCACGTTCTTAACTTTGTCGGTGTAGTTTTTGGCAGCGATGTAGTACTTCTTGGCAATGATCTTGACTTTTCTTAGGCCAATTGTGTAATTCTTTTTCAATTCAAGAGCAAACTTCTTCACGAGCTGAGTATAGTTGCGAACCTTGACCGTCATGTTCCTGTAGAAGACTTTTCCTACAGTAACATACTTTAGGGTGATGTTTTTAGCTTGCATTGTTACATTTTGGATCTTGTAGCTTGTGTTCTTGGCGAACTCAATGGTCAAAAGGACGTACCTGTGCTCGATGATTTCTTTCACCTTCATTTGTTTCAAGTCGTTGAATCCCTTAACAACCGCAATCTTTGTGTCCTTGTAGATTTTCTTGGCCTTTTGTTTGATTTCCTGAACTTTGTTCTGCAACTTAATCTTTACCTCTTCAGCTTTCTGTTTCAAGACCTCAAATTGTTGTTTGAGTTTCTTCAAAGCGGCATCAACCTTTGCTTTTCCCATTTTGCCGATTTCTTTGCTGATTTCAACAAACTCATGTTGTTTGAACTCTTCAAGATAATCGCTCCAGATCTCATGCATGATGATTTCCTCAACAGCGGTTCCCTTGATCATTTCATCGATCTTGCCTTTGGCTTTTATGTAGATGGATCGAACATACTCCTTAGGGTTTGCCATTATTTCAGCCTTCTTCTCCTTGATCATGTTAGGAAGAGTGTAATTCAAGAAGTATTTAGCCTCTCTGTATTTGGCTTCTATCTTTGGTCTTGTCTCATTGATGAACTTCTTGACTTTCTCGATAATTTCCTTGGCTTTAGTGATCGCAGCATTGTAGCGCTCCTGAATCTTGTGTTTGGCCATGAAATTTTTGAACTCTTTATGGCTGGTGATGTTACGATAAAACTCTACTGAAAAGTTCTTTGCCTTGTTAAGGTGAAGTATGGCCATAGTCTTCGTTTTGTTAAAGTATAAAATGGTCATGTTTTTTGCCTTGTAAATCATTTCAAAATCCATATTTTCAATAGCCTTCTTCAGATCCTTGTATTGTAAATCGTATATGTTTTTGGCTGTCTTGGCATACGGCATAAAGATAGCTATAAGTTGTTTACCAGCTATGATGGTGACGTTCTTTGTTTGATTGTATACAGACAACACTTCCATTGAAATGTTTCTAATGGTTTTGTTCACCATGACTATCTGAGCTTGCACCTTAGCTTTGAGTTCTTGTACTTTAGCTTTGAGTTCTTGTACTTTGGCTCTCGCTTTATAGGTTAGCTTGTTAACTCTAACTTCAATAGCACCATATGCTTCATTGTAAACTTCTTCAACTGTCTTTTCCTTGTTTTCGCCATACCAAATTTTCACACCTTCAACAGATTTTTTGGCAAAATCTTTGGCATCATTGTACAGTTTGATCAAGTTGACTTTGCTTTTTCCATAGTATACAATAATTTGTGGTCTGACAGTCTTGTTTAGGTATTCAACACCACGGATGGTCATGTTGTAGGTGATATTGTACAGTTTCACTGTCATGTTGCGGGAAATCTGGTAGTACTTGATGCTCAAATTTCTCGATATTTTGTAATAGGTGATTGTAAAGTTCTTGGTTTTATCGAAGATACGTATGGCGTGCATCTTTCCAGTGTTGTAGTACTTCATCGCCATGATTCTGGTAAGGTTGTAAGCTTTCAGAGTAGCATTCCTTGTTTTGTTAAACAGTGAAATGGCTTTTGTGCTGTAGTTCTTGTACAGTTGAAGACCAATTTTTTTGGAGATCTTGTATACCTTGAGAGCCATTTCCTCATATGTCATGTTTTCGTACTTTCGTAATTTTTGGATAAGTGTCTCCATCCGGACGACCAACATTTTCTTGAATTCTTCTAGTTTTACCATGGCCTTTCTCCTTGCAACTTGCGATTCTTTTTCTGCAATCTTATATATGTCAAGAACAATGTCCTTATAAAATTCGTATGCTTCTTTGAACTCTTGTTCATGCTCTTTTGCAAACTGTACGACATAATTCTCCATTTTCTTGTAGGAATCCTTTGCTTTGCTTAGGCTGAGGTTCTTGTAGCCATTGAGAGATCTTAAAGTGGTTTGGTAGYACTTGTTGTGTAGCGTGTACAGTGCAAAGGTGGCATCTTTGGCGAGATGGAAGTGTTTCTTGGCCATGATTTTAGATCCCTCGACAATTGAGATGAGTTCCTTGACAAAATCTTCACGCTTGATTTGCATTTTGATGAGTTTCATGGTCAAATTTAAGGCTTTTTCTCCAAAGGCAGTGAACTCTCTTACTTCTTTCATGACTTTCTTTCCGTGTTGCTCATATCTGTTCTTAATTGCCATCACTCGTCCTTTAAGGTTCAGGGCCTTGTACATTTGAGTGTATTTGTTTGCAAACTTGGTCAACATATTATCAAGACCGAGGGAGCTGTATCTGTTTATCAAGTCTATTTCTTTCCAGAGTTTCAAGAAAGGTGTTGTAAAGTCTAGATTTTGAATCTGTTTTGCTACACTTTTGGCTTCAATCGACATGTTTCTCACGAAAGCCGTCATGTTTTTGATGGTTAGGTGGATGCTTTGAATTGAAAGTTCTACGACGTCCTCTGGTCTCATGTCCATTATTTTCTTGATCTTCTGATTCAAGGTATTTATGGCTTTCCTGTATGACTGTAAGGCAGTTTTAGAGTGATTGAATGTTAACTCGATAGTTTTGTTGACAAGTTCTTTAGTGTGGTTGACCAACTTGAATACCTTGATGATAGTTATGTCGATAATTTCTTCTGGTGTTTTCTTTGAAAGCTCATTAATGAATTTCAAGACAGCTGTTACGTCGTTGCTAATGGTGTGATTGTATTTTTTCAAGAGTTTTCCTACTTCACTTATAGTCAATTTCATTGTCGTTTCGAGTGCAGCGCCAATTGGGACCTTTTTGACAGTTATGCTTGAGATCTTATTCAATAATTCCTTAGACAGAGGAGCAAAAGGCGTGAAAATTGGCTTGTTAAATTTCACAACATCCATATACAGTGTTTTAACGTATTGCATTGAGGGTTTGATGCGTTCGATGTACATCACGATCTGTGGCTTGACTCGGTTGTAGATTGAAACAGATACCTTGACTATCAGTTTTGTGAGAGGTTTTGTGTACTTGTTGACGTTAAGACTAACGTTTGAGACAACAAGGTGAACTCTCCTCGAAATGATCTTTGACAAGTTTTTCATTTCAATATTCAGGTTTCGAACAAGTTGAATGGCTTTGATAGTTGTATTGCGCATGAACGTTGGTGCGATCTTGACGAGTTTCCTAGACAGAATGACCACTTCATTGCTTGCTTGAATGGATTTTTCCTTGAAGAACATGAAATGTCGCTCAAGACTCTTGTTGAGAATCTGCAGGTTCTTGATTTTATGGCCAAGATTTACACCAAACTTGGTTATTTTTTTCCACGTGCATTTAGTGTCAAAGTCACAGCTAAATTCGCGTATCTGAAGTACAATTTTGTCTAACATCTCACCGATCTTCAACTTGCGGACCTCAATTGCGCGGATCTTGGTGATGAGCTTCTTGGCCTGAGTGGATGCGTTCTTCAATAGTTCTTTCTGAAGTTCTGAAACAATTTTCACAATGCGCTGTACAATATGGCTGACTTTAACATTGCGGATCTTGATTTCGGCAACCATGATGGTGACATTGTTACCCCACCTCTTCAGATCACGGCTGATGTTCGTCAAGTGAAGACCAACGTTCTTTAAATGGCCTTTTAGCTTATTGAGCTGAGCCTCTGCTTGTTTGGTAATCTTGGGTATCTTCTCGGTTTTGATTTTAATTATTTCGGCACGGATCTTCTTATAGAGCTCAGTTGCATCACGAGCAATCATAGGAAGGTCTTTGATTGCCTTCTTGAGGGCTGTCATAGACATGTTGTAGGTTTGTGAAGTAAAGTTCACAGCCTTGATGCTCATGTTTCTGGCCAGAATACTGATGTTGTTGTAGACACCTCTGTAGTCGTATTCCTTGATGGCTTTGTACATTTTCATTGCATGTGGCTTCAATTTCGCTTCAATCTTCTTAACAATGATTTCGACTTGTTTGGTTAAGTTCTTTGCTGCTTTCAAAGTTGAGTTGTAGAGCTTCATTGTTTCGTTGATAACGATCGGCTTTAGTGATTGAATCCTGGAAGCAACGTAGTTGACAGTTGTGGTATTCCATGTCAAGAAGATTCGGCTAACTTCCGGGCTGAGTTTATAGATAATTCTTGACTCATTCACAACATCAACACCAAGTTTCCTTTGGAGGGTCAGCTGCAACTGTTTATTGTTGGGCATTTCTGCGACAACTTGCCCAGAGATACGTGAAGTCAAGGTGGTGTTGAAAACAATGTTTCGTGACTTGCGGTCGAGCTTGACGAACCATCCAGTCTTGTGCTGATTGCATGTCAGGTAAGCACTTGCGATGTAGGCTTTCAAATCAAATCGTCCGACAAATCCAATCCTGCGGTCGCGGATTTGTATGCTTCCATTCAGTGTCTTTGTTTCTTTGTCATAGTTTCCAAAGAATAGAATCTTTTCCTTCATAATTGTGATGTCATACTTCCATGTTTTCTTAAGTTTCTCGATGAAATCATTCAAATTGAGAGACTTCTTAAGTGCAGACAGCTTACTCTTGATCTTAAGACCATCAACCATGTCCCAGCTGGCTTCAAATGAGGCTGGCTTCTGTGGGATAAACTCCATAGACACATAAAACCTCCGCTGCTTACTGTTGATGTCAAGCTTGTGTGACCATTTTTTGGCAAAAGCCTCGATTGTGGATGTAACCAACAGACCATTTATTCTTGAGAAGCTTCCATTGAATGAAATTTTCTTGCCAGGAAGGAGTTCTATTTGTCCAAAGTAGTTTTCCGATTTCTTATTGAAACGGAAGTAACTCTCGAGTGAATTCTTKAACACAAAGGTTGAAGAGCGCACCAATAGACCATCCTCAGTGTTCCATTCAAATTTGTTGACAAACGGAATACGCGGAAGTAGTTCTATTGTGGTAATGATATTCTTTCCTTCTTTATTCCATACGATGCTGTGTTCAACGGTTTTGCTTGGAAGGTATTCTACTGTAAGGTAGTTGGCCATTTGTTGTTTATTATTGACGATTCTGCTACTAATAGAAACTCGTTTGTTGCTAGAGTACATCAGAGCTGCTTTCACTTCATGATCCATTGACATTTTAGTAGACCTATTGGYATGTGACAAATCCCATCCGTACTTGAAGGTACGACCAAGGGTAGACAAACTGAAAGCATAACTGAGATCTTTCCTTCCGTCTTTGTTTTTATAGACGAGGGAAGAGCTGTCGTAGAAAACCCTTTTAGTTCCATTCCTGATAAAGGTAACAAGTTCCATTTCTCGTTGTCCATCTCGTAGTCGGTGTTCAGCCTTCATGACAGCAGCATAACGACCAAGATGATAGCGGAGTGTTATTATCTTTTCCTGCGTCAAGTTTTGGAAAATGAAAGCGGAGCTTGCAATTTGTGTTTTGTTCCAAAGCAACTGAGAAGAGAGTTCTTTGAGTGTTTTATGGTTGATCCAGTTGGTCCTGACTCCCATTGATTTATTTAAGACATCTACGTTGATTCCAAATGTCCTAGTTGATACCTCTGGTTTGTGTTCCATGAAGACTTCCCCAGCGATAGACTTGTTTAAGATGGTCATGTTCATTCCTGCGGATTTGAGTGTTTTCGTGTGTTGGTACTTTAGCCAAGACTCCATGAAGATGGTGCTATTGTACTTGCATGAGAAACGAAGAGCACAATAGTTTGGTTCTTCATATCTTTGCGCTTTTACTTCAGCACTTCTGTTAAGCATGGTAATGTTCAAAGCAAGACTTTTGTCCATGGAGCTGTTAGAGAAGGATGCACAAAATTGACCATAGCGACGACCGAGGAATTCAGAGTGGATGCACAGGCTCTTGTGGAGAGTAAAATTTTTTAGTGCGGAAATGAGAGCAATGCTGTAGTTTTGGTAAGCGCCTCCAATGCTAAGGGTCTTGTGGTTTCCGTCTTTTGATATCTTTGTAAGCAATCCAATAGATTTGTTTAGAGCACTGGCATTGAATTGGACACCAATACTTTCTGGAGACATGAAGTAGRATACACTTGCGTTGGCTGTTTTCTTCAAAACAGTGGCGTTGAACTTTAAACCCTTCTCTGCTTGATTGGCGAAGTAGCTCCATACACCTTCGACACTTCTATTCATCATTTGTGCATTGAAGCGTAGTCCATTTTCTGATTCAGTCTTGAAGTACGTCCAAAGTGCCTCCATGGTCTTGTTAATAGCGCTGGCGTTGAACTTGATTGTCTTTTCGCTATCGCTGCTAAGGTAGCTCCAAGCCGCTTCGATGGTCTTGTTAAGAGCTGTGGCGTTGAATTTCAATGCTTTCGTTGATGGCACATCTACAAAGCTGACAAAAGAACTGACAGATTTGTTAAGTCCCTTTGCGCTGAATTTCAAGCCCTTTTCAGTTGGTAGAGTGAAGAACGTCCAAAGGGCCTCCACTGTCTTGTTGAGTGCTGTGGCATTCAGCTTGATGGTCTTTTCTTGTGGAAGGTTGAAGAATGACATCACTGATTCAATAGTCTTGTTCAAAGCAGATGCATTGAATTTGAGGCTTCGGACTGTATCAGCTTTGGAATACATCCACAGTGCTTCAATGGTTTCATTCAGAGCAGAGGCGTTGAATTTGAGGACTTTGTCGTTGGTATAGTTCAAGAAGGACAAAGCAGCAGCAACGGTTTTATTAAGTCCTGAAGCGTTGAATGTCAGGCTCTTGATTTGAGTCATGTTGTGGAATGTCAAATCAGCACTGAAGTTCTTCTTGACAATACTGGCTTTAAAGTTCAAACTTCTGCGCACTCCACTATTGATGTAAGACCAGAAGGCTTCAGCTGTTTTATTTAATGCCGATCCATTAACTTTGATGCTTTTCAATCCGTCTTTGACAATCAAAGCGATTGCACCATTGACAGACTTGTCCATAGCTGTGCTGTTGAATTTAAAGCCTTTTTCCGTCGTGTAGTTAAAGAAGGTCCACTTGGCTTGGAAGGGTTTTCCGAGTATTGAAGCGTTAGTCTTGATGGATTTCTCATTTGTTTGGTTAACAAAACCCGTGTACCAGGTAAACACGCGATTCTTGTTATCGTGTATGGCTTTAAAATGAAGACCCTTTTCGGTGTCTTGAGAGACGTAAGAGCTCTTTACAGTGAAGGATTGTTTAATTGGAAGAATATAAGTCTTTAGATTTGCTTCTTTTTTGATCTTGTCCAGGACAGCATTCATTTCAATGCTGATATTCTTCACCGTGGTGAAGTTAAAATGTAGAGAGTCTTCTTCTTTGCCCAGCTTCCCGTTGAGCTTCAGAGAGGTTTTGGTACATGTATGGTTAGCGATTATGTTAAAGGTCTTTCTTGGGAGAGACAATTCAGCATTGGCAAAAATGTATTTTCCCGGCCAGTAGGTAGTGTTACTGACAATGCCATATGTGCTTGATCTATTGTAGACCTTATTAAGTTGGCTTATGGTATAGTTCTTGTAGGATGCAAGCCACTTTGTTCCGATTTGACGTTCACTGGTCTCAGGGTTGGTCTCGTTAAAGTACTGTCCATTCAGAATAATACGATTGCCATACATCACGTCTCTGGCATCAAATGTGACGTTGACAGCATTAGTGATATTGTGGTAGGAGGCTGAGATGTTGCCAAATTTATAACCAAGAGCACCGGTAGAGACGCTGAAGCTTTTCTTGTTATCATTCAACCACAAAGATGCATTAGCTTCAAACTCGCGCTCCCAAGTTGCACCAGGTGTCGATATTCTTGCAATGATATCATAATTGCTTTCCTCCTCGGTTGGAAGTCTGTGCGCAACGAGTTTGTATACGCGAAGCTTTGGGTCAGTTGGAAGAACGGACAAGCTGAATGAGGCAGGTCCAGATAGTGGGAAGAAAGGTGCCTTCAGATCACGGAATGCAACTGGTAGAGACATTCGACCGCATACAGCGATTCCAAGCACACGGGTGAAGTTAAGGCAAGGAGAAGGCTGTGTGACGAATATAACATAGTTAGAATTCGGACTTCACTGCACATAGGTAAAACAAAGGTAATGCAAGCATAAATTTCGTAAAACACGAAGACGAAAGTCCCAGTTTTAGCTATATACTCATGGTTACTTTGAGCTTCGGCACCGAGACTTTAACCTCAACGACGGTTCGGTATCATTGGTGTATTGTATGTCAAATATTTCATTAAGTTTAAAATTGGCGCTTTCTTTTTTTGGATAATATTAACATTATGAAAATCATCACGAGTCTATATCAACACCAACCGACTTGTATTTCAGTACCAAGAAAAACATCAGCTTTCTTACCTCAATACGCCTATCAGTTCCACGAATTTGAGCTTCAAGGCCGTTTAAGGTGGCATACAGGCTTGATCTAAATGGAAGAGCGGTTTATTCCATCAGAAGAATGGGAAGAGAAAAAATGTTATCTTTCTACATAACCTAAATATTTCTGATGTTTTGGATAAGATAGTTTTCGACACTTGTGATGCACTTTAGGTTAAGTTAGTGCACCAAAAGGGCAGTCTCGAAGTTGTTTTTCCGAAATTCATTCAATTCAGAATTGCTTTAGTACAAGATAAATGCAATAAAAACAGTTAAGATACTCACGAGACATTGAAAATTTGAACTGGCTTAGTTGGTGCACCAACGTCAAACTTGAAGATCTGTCCTTGCTTATAGGTACCATTACCATTGATCTGAGTGGAGGTGTACATAGAAGTGTTCAAGAGAACTCCAGCTTCAGCGAAGACAGCATCCACACCCATACGACCAGCAACTTCAACCACAGCACTGAAGAAGTAAAGGAAGAAATATTTCATTGGGCTCGTCAAAACCTTTCAGAATTGTCATGATGACATAGATTAACAGAAGTACAAACCTTGGTTTAAGGTGTCCTCGAACATCAAATGCCATTGGTCCCCAGAACATATTTCTGATGTCAAACTTTCCTTTCATTTCAACGGAAACAACTGAGGTGCCCTTCGCGTCGAGTTTAAGTGGAAGACCAAGCAGTGTAGGAACAATGGTTTCAATATCAAGGAACATCAGACTCTTGGTGTAAGTCTTTTTGCCACCCTTTGCGATCTTGATTAGAAGATCGACCATGTTGACATTGTCGGCTTCATTCTGGAGCCAGCTGATGTCATCGAAGCTTGCTACTCTGATTTCATTTCCAAAGAGTTTGAGTGAGACGCTACCACTGGGCCTGTGTTTCATGTTATCGATCTGCAAAAATATAATACACGAACAAATGCATAGGTGAATCCAATTATCCAATGATTTATTCCCTATGGATGTGTATCAGTCACATTTGAACTTTCATTCAAATCCCAAAACTAATTTCGTCATTACTTCCATTCATTCATTTATCCATACATACATAGAATAAACATCTGTAAATGTACCTTTCTGTTGAGTTTCTTTAGCTGTGGCTCTACTCTGTTGATATCATCCTTGATGCTACGCCGTCCTCTGACTTTGTTATTGAGCTGCTGTTCTTCATCCGACCTGCCTTCATGTGGTGTAAGTTTGAACATTTCCATGATGCGATTGTCTGGGTAGTAACCATCCTCTCCAAAGTACTGTTCGATGAGAGTCTCAAATCCTTCGAACCTAGCGGCAGCCTCCAGCAGATTGATGGATGCACCAAGGACATCTACTGTCATGTTCAACTGCGTACTGCGGGGAAAGTAACTGTTGGGGTGGTAGATTAGGTGACCTTGCATAGAACCACCAGCACCGAGAAGGTCTGAAACAATTAAATTTTATAATTATAAAGACTATATATATGCTATTAAGCCTCAATAAAYTCTCATAGAACCATATACACAAACACCCCACAATTTAGAAAACGTTGACTCACCATTGTAGTATGACGCTTCAAATGATCGAGAGAATCTCAATCGGTTCAAGTTGAATTCACGAAGAATATTCCCTTTTAGAGCCTTGCGAATCATGTCAGCCATTGGGCGTCCATAAACAGGTTCAGTAGACTCCATGGCGTTGGTTAAATGAGACCAGACGAATGAGCCAACTTGCTTGTTGACTTCCTTCTTCTGGATATCAGCAATACGTTTGAAGAGATCAACATTTGGGCATCTCACAAGTGCAAGATAGCTTGCAATCCGAACTTCAACATCAAAGTGTGAGTTTCCATAAATGTTCAGAAGTTGGTCAGTAGTGTCTTGGGAGCATGGCATTCGGCGGAGAGCTTCCAAAGCAGCGATGGACATGTTCTTTGGAAGGTCACTCATAGCGCACTTCAAAAGGGAATATCTGACATTGAATGGACGTCCGGCATTACCAATGGCTTTTAGGGCCATAACTATTTTCTCAGCATCTTCTGGAGTTTCGAACTTGCAGCCCTTGCCAATCATGCTGGAAAGCCAGCGTTCAGCTTTAAGTATGGGACTGTTCCATTCCTACAATCGCAATGGACAATAATTGTGAATAATTGTAAAAGGCCACGTCATATGGCCCGTGATAGCGTTTAACTGCATAGGCTGGTATAGAATGTACGATAAATAGTTCATTTCAAATATAAAACTGTTATCTTTTACAATTTTAGTAGTCTGTTCGATAGCGAAAGCCTCTAGCTTATTTGATTATGTAATTAATAATGAGTATTGCACCTAACGGCGCTCAACTTACCAAGTCGTCGCAGTGTCCGTCTTCACATATCTTGTGGATCAGTGTTCCAAGAGTCAACATTCCTGTTCTGCTTGGCCTGGCCTCGCAGAGGTTAAGCACGTGTCCGATCATTTCTTCTGAAGGTGAGTTTACCAAAGCAAGTCCAGATAGGAACATATTACCACGCTCACCGTTGACAAGCTCTTCTTTGATGGCACGGTTGATAACCTCAGCACAGCCCGTGGTGCCGCAGTGTGGGATAGCATCAAGGAGAAACATCCTAAAATAACATAACGACCATGTTAAAACGCAGATTTGATTTACGCATATACAGAGATAAAGATTCAGAAATTAAAAGGCTGTTCACGCAATTTATAACAGAACTGACGCCTTGTAATTGCATTTCAATTCATTAATGCATTCTTTTTGATAATTTCAATGTAAAGAATGCTTTTCCTGTTTTCAAATTTCCTATGATAAGCGTTAAAAATACACTTACTGGAATCGATCTTTCTCTTCAGGCCTGCAGACGCCAGTCTTGTCACAGTCAAACACTCTAATCCAAACCTTCATCATTGCTCTGTCCTTCAACTTTCGCATAGAGAACACAAGTTTGGAGAACAAGCGAGCTGATTCTGGCTTCGTCTCATCCATTGATTGACGAGCAAGGTGTGTGATCATTTCGATGACTCGTTCAGACTCCAGGTTGTCAGGTCTTGGGCTGTGGTGTTGAAATGATAGGGGGAGGGTTTGGCGACCTGGATGAAGACAATGGTAATATAGTTGTAAGTAATAAGACATAGCTCAAAGTTTTGATTATCATACTAACCGTCCAGGCGTTTGTCTATAGGGTCAACTTTTCTTGTTTTCTGAAGGGTCAGGATTTGCCTAAGAATAAAAGACGATAATTCAACAAGTAAATATATGGATGGTGAGTAATAAATCAACAAATGAATAATTTTGAGGTGACTCTCTAGGAATCGTATTGAATAATATCTGAGAGGACTATCTAAGGTTTTTGTGTTTCATTGTGTATGTATAGGGTAAAAATGGTGGAAACTAGCGATAAACTATGAGGTATATGATCTTTGACATTTCAATAGTAGTTTGTTCTACACCTACTTGGATACGGTGGATGCTCCTGCACTGATTCCAGAAGAGAAGGGTCTGAACAAATGTTTCTCGTAGCACTCGACCTTCTGGACATATCTCTTGGCTGACAGTGTGTAGAGGCAGTTACTTGTTGATTGAAGCAAATTCAGAGACTAAAAAATAATAATTTTCCTAGGTGAGCAACTGTGACGATGAATTTCATTATTTCCACCGTTCACATCATCCTAATCTTCTCTTTGTCAGACATTATTATTATCTGGTTCCTCACCATCAATATTTAAATGATTATTGTGTTTTAATAACTTGAAATATTCGAAATTCAATAAATGTTAACCTTTTCGTTGTACTGGTGGAAATGGATGCCGAGGTCCGTCTTGGATCGTTCAGTGCATTCCCTTAGGTTTCTTGTCTTTCTAATCTGGTTTACTCTACCGGAAAGATGTTTTGAGAGGACTCGGTAATGCACAGGGCACTTGCCTGCGACATCGGTCTAGATAGAAGCAAAATAATATAGCTTTTAGGGATATAAAAATAAACAACAAGTACAAGTATGAAATATAATGAAAATGGAATGGTACAGAGAAAAGGGCTGACTGTAAATATAAGAACTACTAAAAAGAGAAAACTGCACTGATACTAGAAGAAACAAAGACAAGGAAATGGAATCTCAAAGGAAAGTTTAAGTGCAAAACCTACAATCATATCAAATCAAGAAAATTCAAAAATTCACCTCAGTCTTGGTGGCTTGCTTATCTTTGATAAACTGAACCTGCAGTGCACTGAGGATTCCTTTTTTGATGTTAAGAATCTTCGAAGACTCAGCTGGATCAGGCGAGACTCCGATAATGGCTCCATTACTGGATCGGAAGAGGAGTTCATGAGCTTGTAGCTCTCGAGCAAATGCTTCAGTGTCCCTTGATGGTTGGTAGACCAAAGGGACGTTCTTGCCCTGGGCTTCCCAGAGCTCTATTGAGTCGATCTGAATATAGAAAAACAGGACGGTAATAAGCATCACAATAATAGCAGACAATGGTAAAAAGGCACATCGATGAAAATAAGAAACCTAAAAATATACAAATGAACAAAGCAGACAATAGTAAGCAAAACATATGACAAAAACATGACAAAATTGAATTATTATAAACTATTATTAATCATTCTTTTTGACATAATATGAAAAGGAAGGTTTACTTTTAAATAAAAACAAAATGCACAGCAACAACAATGTTAAACCAAGTTRTTAATGAACAAAAAGAAAAGAACTGAAGCTAATATAACAACAGTAATAGATTATTACCATTATTATCTATTGTAGAAATATGGTGTAGTATCAGTAAGAAATATCAGGACAAGAAAAATTTTAAATGTCAACTTGAATATTTTTGTGATGTCAACATCATAACCATACACAACGACAAGGAAAAACAAGATATAACGGCATTTTCTGAGACGAATGGCAGATGACAGTAGGGTGTACTCGTGCCCTAAAGGTGTTGAAAAGTGCTGGCTTATTCAGTACTTTTTCAAATTGAGCTCATTTAAAACCTTTCATTTCCCCTATACACCCACCCATGTAATATACTGTCTTTCTCAAAAATAGCTAGCCCGAGTTGACGCTCTAAGAGGGTCTGGTTTAGATGTAAAGGATCTACCAAAGGCATGCAGTTCATCTATAGGAACTGATAAATCACGAAGTAATTTGAAATCACATATATAAGAGTAAAATGTATGAAAGTAACTACTTGTTGATTACTTTTCATGCAATATTTAGCAGCTTTTGAAGAAACTAGATTCATTATAATTTTTGACAAATCTTTAAAAGCGTAGACACGGTAAACATAACGCACAGCAATGCAAACGTGACTCCGGCAAATCGTTCAATCCGATWGTCTTTCGTGTGCATGAAGCAAAAGTAGGGATAGAAGTATACCACAGTATCAAAGTCAGACAGTTTGCAAATCGGCGATAGTTGGCGCAATGGCAGCGATCTCAACAAGAAAGAACAAGGTATCGCTCTAAAAAACCATGATCCCTTCAATGTTCATCTAGGAATACCCCTGCGCGAATAGCATGTTTTCTTTAATCCACAAGAGACAGAATCCCTTATCAAATTGGAAAATTTAGCCTATGCAACTCAGAATCAGACAGCGACGTTGCGGCTTCACTCCGCTACGAAGTATCGGATTATATATCTCTCTCTTATAATGCTCTATTTGGCTCGATACATCAACCTAAATCAAAATGTCCTTATATATGCTCTTACACAGATGAGTGTTTTGGAATAACAAAAGGACTCGAATATCAAAGAATTACTATAAAATCTAGAGTAACTCCCGGGCAGTTAACTGTTCCATCATACGATTGTTTACAGTAGTTCGTAATGTGATATTTCGTATAGAGATCGGAGGGCGATCGGGATCAGGCAAACTTCTGACTTTGAAAAAGAAACAATACACACTGCATTTTAAACCGCGCACCGGCCTAGGCACGAGAAAAAATAAAACTTTCAAATAGAATTACGATAAAACTTGGTTAAAATTCCAGTATTATTTTGAGCAATTTTGTCCCCAATACAATCATGTAACTACACAGCACAGATAAAAATAGAGAACAATATAATAGTGACAAAAACTAGCCTCCGTAATGGTCACGCAAATTGACGTATATAGCTACTTTGATACATAAAAAAAATACAATCCAAAGCAGCTTACGGGAAAGATGATGTGTCCTATTTGCCTTCACAAGGCATTCCTAAGTTTTGATTATACTCGAAAACCGGAGGCGAGACCGAAGAATAAGCACACACAGCCACATCTTAGGTGTTTTTATAGAACACACGAATGGAAAGGACGTATTTAACACAGACTGCGGTTGTTTTTAGGCCAAAATAGTCATAACCGACATTGCTTTAAGTCAGTTTTAGCAATAACGGTGAGTTAAATACTAGGGGTTTCGTATATTCAATCAAGTTGAAGAAATTCCTATAGCAGGGATTTGAGTGATATACCATATTATACGGGATTATGCATTCAAGCGGGTATTGTATGTCATCACTCAAGATATGCCGGATGTCCGATACCAAGATTAGCCCGAGATCACCACACCGTATACACTCCTATCAACACACCCACGGATAATAAAAATAGCAAGCCGCAGCTCATTAGAATAAGTTCAAATGGTCAAATACCGCAGGAAAAGAACAGGAAATATGACGAATACAAGAATTTATTTGCCGTCTAATCCATGTCAAGGTCAGAATATCAGGTTTTAGCAAGTAGAGACAGGCAAGCAACATGAATACCGGGTTCAGTATTGAGTAGATCACATTCTCTTTCGCGCCTCGAGTATCACAATCGAAAAATATAAATAGATGCATTTTCAATTCCGGCCCCACTCTAGGCACGTTACTACAGGACTTTTGCAATGTTTAAAACCTGACCCATATTGTATAAGAATAGTATTAAGTAAGATTGAGTAATTGAAATGAAACAAACTCAAAAATATAATACTAAACCGAACGAAAATATCGCAGGTGGGTATAATGTTCAACTATTTAGGTCCACTTTTTATATAATCTAGGATGTCCCGTTGCCCTTTGGTAGTCAGATAACAAAAGATCTCGTTACAAAATGAAAAGAAAATCTCTGGAAGGACAATATGAGAAAGCAGGAAAATTATATCTAAAATTAAATTCCGATTTCTATTAATGAAAAAATGAGACTGGATTTTAATGTATTTTTGCTAGCTGATGTTTTGTAAAGCGAGGGTCACTTCGGTCGAACACGAGACCGGATGCTGATAACTTACCTTCAAAACATGCTGGCATGAACCAACAGTTCTGATACTACAGCGTGCTTTGATCTTCAGCGCCGACTGAGCGTTTGAAGAGCCATTCACGCTTGTAATGGTCTCTCCTACATAATTGTAGGAGTATTCTTTTCCATAATGGAATCGTACAGTTTCTGCAAAAGAGAGCAAGCTATGTCAGCATGGTGATTTGCTGTGGGGTTCATGGTCGCCACGGGTGCGATCACAKGTTTCCGGTTACCACACCAAGCGAAAGTAGATTACTGTGCGATTTTTATTGACTAAAAAAGCAACACTTACTAAACAAGGAAAACAGACAAAAGCAAAGTATATAAATACTTTTGTTTCTAGTGATATCAGCTAAAGTACACTCATTTAGTACGCTATCTTAAGTAATATTTCAGTAAAGCAGATTTGAACTCATCTCTGTTTGAATGAAAGAACTGTGATAATTGCGTCGGTTTCTTAGTCAGCAATAATATGATCACAAAGACCATGTTATTGTTACAAAAGATAATGTTAAAATCAGGCCCATAGGCCCCCACAAGCTTAAAAGGTCCTTTGTTCTTTCTTTGTTCTTTTATTGTTCTATTTTGAAATTCTTTTGTTGTGAACTGTTTGTGAGATTTTGTTATGAACCGCTCATTCTAGCAGCCAGTTCTTTAGCCTGAGTATCAAGCTCTCTCGAAGGGGTTTGGGGCCCCAAACCCCTTCGAGAGAGCCTGATACTCAGGCTACCAGTTCTTACACACTATACCTGTGCATTGAACTAATTTAGTCAAACATTCAATTTAGGTCCCGCATTAGGAAAAAAAACGAATCCCCCCCCCCCACACATTTTTAAGTCAGCCTACGAACCTGAACATGTGTTCTGTGATCGCGTTGGGCAAAAGACACAAACAAAAGGTAATAAATTTYATGATCCAAGTATGATGCGTTTCATACGGCCTAAATCACCGAGCACGCGCAGGATGGGACGTCGATAGCGCGCGCGACAAACCCTGCGTGTTTTTTGATATCCACGAGTTTTAAAACTGGTTTTTGTCAAGAGTCATAAATTATGCAAGATGATACTCGACAATCCTGGGGTCAACTATGATATTGTCACATGATAATTATATTTCGCAAACACACAAATTTTTTTTTAGGAATTTCAACTCGCTACATTCATAAATTCAATGAGCCAGTGCTTCTAGAACAGTTTTTTGTGCATTCAATCACTGCGCGATGACAGTRAAGAATGCAGTGAAGTTATACATGGATATCGCAATATTAGCTGTTGCAGACCTAACTAAATGAGCCGGTAAATTTTGTATTTTGTATATCACCCCTCTCTACCGAGATTATCGCTCGCTGATTAGTTTCAACGCAACAAAACTAATCGAAGAAAAAATGTTTAAATTTCTACAGAAGGTTAACTTTAAATATAACTATAAAGAAATTATTTTCWTTGTAACTTGCATGAGGGGTACGAAACGAGCTAGTAGCAACGAAGCATTAATTTAATATTTTAGAACTACACTTTTCAATCTTATATAATATCATTCCAAGATATACCCTCAAAATAAAATAGCGAGTTATCAGGCTAAATGACGCAATTGATAAAGTATTATAGATAAGAATAAAGAGATCTAAAACTTACTTTTACTGCAAATAATGTTGTCCTTTTGGACTCGTCGTCTTGAGCCTAATTGGCCACCAAATGGTGCTGTTCAAGAGAGAGAAAAAACAATTAAAATTATGATCACTATAAGCAGCGACTTACAATGCAGATCTATAAAGTCTTCGAAAACGGTTTACCCTGAAAAAACCTGAACATTCTTTGCTACACTAACAACAATAAAGACTATGGCACATATAGATATTTCCTATAAAGAAAGATAACTATCTGACCTCTCTACAAGCCCTGCCGACGGGCATTGCGGCAGAATCTCTCTCTCTCCTCGCAATTCAAACGAGACTCTTTTGGTACAAAATACAGTTCTCTCAGTACAGTATTTGAAAATAATCTGGACCAAAGCACATAGTAAAAGCGAAGTTAAAATTACATAACAAAAGTAGAATGAATGATGTAAACAGGCTAAAGAGGGGGACTTGCAGGGCCGTCACTACACGAAGCTTTAAAGCTATGCACAAAACCCTTAAGTGCAATCAGAAATCAAGTGAAATCAAACTCACCAGCCAAGGCTCCTGTGGCAAGCAACACTAGTACTAGTGCTTGCATTTTGCCTGAGAGCGGATCACCAATTCTGAGGCTCAACTAAAAATATTATATGTTGACCGTAAACTTATATACGAAGAGGTTCACTAGTCATGTGACACTTAATTCCTTGTCAACCAATCAAATCTATCCATTTGGTCCTGTTTCGGGAATATGTCCAAACGCCACATCAAACTGTGAGGGGATTAACATAAAGTTCAAAGTACGCAAGAAACCTGGGGTTAAAAAAAAAACGAAACGAACAAATAGCACTATTTGATCAGTTTCAAGAAAGTTCGTTAAGTATGGCTTTTAACTGATGCAGCCCCTTACCGATGAATCTTGTGACTTTATTCATATATCCATAACAATGTGTAATTCAAGCCTTTTGTTTCCACTGTGTCAAGTTAAATACTTAGTGAACCATAAAGATCATTATATCAATAACCATAATAAAAATTTGAGCTAAATTTTTAATTTGGCTCGAGGCGAAACAATGTTGTTGTTATAACATTTATATTTGGTAAAGGAATACCGCTAAACGAACATGCAATATTCAACCCCGTTGAGCTGGGATGTCACAATAAGCGCTTTTCTTTTTGTGAGACGTGTTGACAGATTCTTGTCAAACTTTGCACGACCTGATCAAGTGGGAGACCTTGGCATTCTGATGCCCCTTTGATAAAAACAGGTTTTCTCTCAAATAACACAATATTAAACTACAATTTACATGTAGAAATCAACTTTGAACTTTGCAGTTTTTCTGGAACATATTTGGTCGTTAACGTTCATAACTGTTTATTGTATCAAGAGGATTTTAATACTGAAAATAGAATACTCCTTAACAGTACAAAGTCCATTTCTCGATGCTGAAACGTCAAAAATATCTCGCATTATGATTCTTTCTTATCGTCTTACAATTTCAGCTTTGTGCAATTAATAACGAAAATATTTCCAGTTTGAGGGTAGTCGATGTTGAGTAACATTCATTTCTGTCAAAATTTCCGGTCTAACTACGAAAAACAAAATTTTGATCCTTAACTTTTGTTATGCGAAGGATAAAATTATTTTGAATAAAAGCATTCTTTAAGAAATCCTATAGTTTATTATCATAGCATGATATCAAGATAACAGCTCAAAGATTGATATTGGGAGATTGGAATAAGGAGTTCAATTTGCTGCATCATCTTGTTGTACAAATGTGTACACATAAATATCAAAACTTTGAAGTGATTTCCTGGATTACACGATTGGTGGTCCTTTGTTGGATTCATCCTTCTAGAATGTTTTATTTTCGCCTTTAAACAACAGTAAACAACCTTTATATGATCTCTTTTGGTGTGGATTTTCTACTCATTTATAAAACAAAACTTCTGCTGATTAACAAATTTCACTGCAAGTGAGATGATATGTCAACTAAAGTTGTTATGGTTCATTTTTATTTATTTTTTTTCGCATTCTTGGATGATGCCATGTGTAAATTTAAATAATTACAGCTGATTTTCATGTTCTGCTCGCTGTAAAAGTTACAGCTACCATTTTCCACAAAACCGTCAGCTGACAAAACAGTAAAACCGACAAAATGATCAAAACTTTCGTTTTGCTGTGCATGCCACGGCATAACGCATTGCCCCCCAAATCGAAATCAGTGCGGTACCCTTGCCAAACATGACATCATAAGTTGACCAAAGTCTAACCCACACTTGTAATAGAAACCAACAATGATTGTGATAAAGATAAAAGGCTGATAGGAAAGAGAAAAGACTTTTACATTATGCAATATCTTGTGACTCTAGAGGATTCATTTGCTTCTTAGAAGGAGTTGTCACTATACTTGTAAACCATAGAGATTCATGGCCAAAAATTGCTCTTTACGGTATACTCATTAAAAACTCCTGATATGAAATGATCTTAGCTATTTCTTTTACAAGTATTGTCCATATGAAAAAAGTTTTTTATGACTTTTGTATTTTTACGACTCAGTGCAGAAGTTTTATAATTTTGTAAGTCGGTGCCCTTAAAAGGCATTGCAATGCAGTGAAATTCAAACCTTTCCGTTTCAGCTGCTAGATTGTGCAACACAGGAATGCTAACACAGCATATTTGCTGATGTCTGTACAATTAGGAATAGTTTATCTTTTTATCAAGATGTGACAGTGAAGTTCTTCTTCTTTGTATCGAACGCCCGGAAATTTTGCTAGTCTTAATAAAAAATGTTAGCGCATTAAAACCTGGTAAATAAAAGAAAACCCAAAAGCCGAATCGATTTGCGTTCCCCTACGCTATTAATCTAACGTGACTAGCTGCGAATAGCGCAAACGAAACCCAGCAGCGAGGAAGAGGGGTATGGATACTAACTGTTGACATTTTGACACTGTTTTGTCTTTTCTTATTTCTTCTACTTCTTGTTGGGAGGTCGAAATAAAGCGCCAAAGCCATAATAAAAAAACTAGAGCGAATCATTTGCTGTACTGCCCATGCGTAGAGCCAGAAGAATCTCAACAATAACCTGGATTTGATCATAACATTAAATATTGAATTCTATTTTTAATCAGACTAACCAAGGACGAAGACTATTGCAATAAGGGGAAGAGAAGATCCCCCTTTCAAAAATTGATCGCCTCGCGAGTAGCGATGATCATTGACCATTGATTTATGTAAAAAAACACATCGTGTATGACACGATGACATTTAATAATAAAAGAAAACGAGTAAAACGTTCAGGTGATGTCTATCTAGATTGAGGCATGTCGAAAATGGTCATAGACAAACTCTGGAGTAAATGCACTCTATTATGGCTCTGGGGGTAGTGATCAAATGCCTTCGAAGCCTTGAAGGAGGTTTAGTGGACTATTACGCATGCTCCTCGCGAAGAAGACATGATAACACACTGTATTCATTCATACTAGAATGTGAAAGTTTGCACAAGCAATGCATTTTATGCTCAACCAGTAAAAGATGTCACTAATAAAGACAAATCAGCCATGACAATTAACTGCAAGAAATACGGTTCCTCCAGGAACATCATCACTTATCCGGTCTTAGAGTTTCCAAACAGTTTGCTGGCGCTTTGAAGTGAATTCTCGGACGGCCAACTAACGGTTTATTTTGTCAATTCATCAAAAACTCAGGATACCATGTTGTTTTTATTTCAAAAGAGCATGGAATTTAAAGCAAAGAGAATTTTTCGTTTTGCTAAATTTCTCAGTTCTTAGAGACTCTTCGAAAACGCAAGCCTTGCTCTCCAGTTTTATTTTTGCATTATACGTCCTATTAGAAAAAAATTGATTTCCCATTTGAAACCATATTTAAAGCATTTAGTGTTCTTTTCTTTTTCTGTGCATAATTATTCCATATAGCCGATTCACGACTTTCCAAACTCAGGTTCAGTGAACACGAATAAAGCATTGAAACGAGGCGTCAAGGTACAGTGAGCATAAAAGAAATGATCTGTGATCAATTTCAAATTGAGCTTTTTTTAAACTAACATAATGTCTTTCTCAATTTTCAAAAATAGTTCGACCGAGTTGACGCTCTAAGGAGGGTCTGGTTTAGATGTAAAGAATAGTGCTACCAAAGTCATGCAGTTCATCTATAGGAACTGATAAATCATGAAATCATGAAGTGATTTGAAATCACATACATTAAGAGTAAAATTTGTGAAATTAACTCCTTTTTGATTACTTTCCATGCAATATTTAGCAGGTCAAGTATATACCACACTATCAAAATCAAGTGTCAGTCGGTGATAGTTAGCGCCGTGGCAGCGAGCRATCTCAACAAGAAGGTTATCCAGCTCTATAAAACCATGATCCTAGAATACTCGTGTGTGAATATCTCATTGTTTTCTTTACATGTAACCGAGAAAGACAGAAACCCTTATCAAATTGAAAAATATCTGCAGCTCAAAATCAGATACGTTGCGGCTTCACTCAGCTATGAAGTATTGGTTTATATCTCGCCAAAGAAAATAAACTGTTTGGCTGGATACACCAACCTCTATGACCTAAGCAATTTCCTAAGATATGCTCTCATACAAATGAATTAATGTTTTGGAATAACAAAAGGGCTCGAATCTCAAATAATTATTACTATAAAAGGCATAGGGCCTGGGCACGTSTAAGGTCAAGGTGATATGAGACATATGAGAGATAATACAAAAAAAAAACAACAACAAAAAACAAAAAAAGCAATAACGAACAAACAAACAAAGAAATTTGACTCAATCATGTAGCAATTCAAAACTCTAAGTGTAAATAAAGATGAACATTTTCTTTACTTATGGCGTGCTGCGTGTAGCACAAAAATGCTATTGGCCATTCAATACAATGAAATATGGAATTATTCTATGCAGTTTGAGTAAAGGTACAGGTGTGTTCCTATTCTCTGTGATACAAGTGCACCCTCTGATGATATCATTCTATGCAGTTTGAGTAAAGGTACAGGTGTGTTCCTGTATGATACAAGTGCACCCTCTGATGATACCGGCGCATCACATCAAGTTTACGGTTGTTTTACGGTTGATCCATTGACTCGTTCAAGTTAACCAAATTAAAATGATTGATGATCGAGGCAGACCAAGCACATTTATATTTAAATTATTTTATAGAACCTACATTACCACTAAAACAGAAAAAATAAAGAGCTATGAAAGAATCTGAGACAAAAGAGAAAGAAAAAACAAAGAACAGTCAGACCACATTGAACGAAGTGCATATAGGTGTGTCAGCGWAATGTCATGAATAAGAAGAGCAGRACATCCAGTAACGTGCTTTGTAAAAAGAATTCTGAACATAGATTTTGGTAGAGATTTGATGTCAGTAGGAATACTATTCCGTATTTTAGCTCCAGCATTTGCACTGATCAATATCATTTCCCCCCAGAAAATTGGGGATTGAGAAGGGGGGGGGAGCTTTCCCTCAACATGTAAAGGTTTCTTTATACTTTTAGGCAAGAAATCGATATCGTGATTATAGTTCAGTCATTTCTATACATATATCGCCTATTTTCACGTGCTGCTCTCTAATAGTGTGACTAATCCTTCATACATCGGGACCGGGACCTAAAATCGCCACAAARTGCCCAAAACCGCCAAATATTTTGAGTTTGCTAAATCCTTGAGTAGGCCTGCACACTATAACCCTATAATATGGTGCGTACACCTCCTACATTGAATCGTTGTATTTTTCTAAAAAATAATATACCAATTCACACTGGTAAACAACAAGGAGTACGTGGTTTTTATGCTGGAATCAGTGAATATTCGAGCGTAGGACAAGAACGTTCACGTTGTGGCCTTTGGCAGTGGACGTGAAGGCGCTGGTGAACCCATGCATCTCTCTAAACAATGAGAGACCAACGGGTTTCATAAAAAAGGTGCTGTTTATCTTGTCCAAATATACATTTACACGATTGTMGCTACTCTTTTCGTGAAGGACATCAAAGAACACGGAGGGGTCGCTTGTCAATGGAACACGCAAGATATCACATGACCAACAAGTGTTTTTGACAGTAGGCTGGCCATAGTCAGAGCTCCTGCATTTCCTTTGCTTTGGATTATACGGGATATTCCACTTTCGTATTTTGGTTTCATTACGTCTAGTTTCCGGGCCATATCCGATCACTTGACCGGCACAAATTAATAATCTGACACTCACACAACGCCTTTGCGCAGGGAGAAAAAAAAAACCGGTTCCGAGAAGTGAAGTGGATTGCGATTGTGGATTGCTTTGATACTTGAATTGTGACTTAAATCTCTAGTATTATATATCAAGTTCCATGTTTTTTAGTTTAGTTTTTCTTTTCTTTATTTTGCTGTACGTGCATTTTTATTTTCATTTAACTTTTTATATCAGCTCTAATAAAAAAACTGATACATCTCGATTTTTGTTGCTATATGCGTGGTTGTAACATTTATCACTGCTTGAGCAAAAGTAGGGAAAAACTTAAAGACGCACCAATCAATGGGCGTGAGGCTTGGTGTCAAGCTGTAAGCCTCCACAACAGCCTTCTATTCCACAGGATCCCATTAGGTCCGTTACGCAGGCTATCAAGCTGTTTGTTTGCATTACACATTTAACCTGGAAAAACCACTGATAGGATGAATGAGAGACCGAATATATTCATTCTAGTTGATATTCAACATCGAATAGAATAGGAGATTACATGAGAGCAATATTTCGGTTTTATTGCAAGTGNGGCTTGTGAAATTGTAAACACGAGTTTCTTCTAAGCATCAAAGTACAAGCTCGTGGCAAGTGCTTTAAAATAACAAACATGAAAAAATATATATATTTATATTTTAGGGTGGTCCACGAAAATTGGTCCATGGACCAGTCCATGGATAGGTCCACGATGGCGGTCCATGGACCCCCGGTCCATGTTTTGTACCGACCCAGTCAAAATTAAGTCTCATTTAATTTATCAATTCATTTGAGATTTTGAATTCATGAAGAAATTCAGGATTATTCGAGAGATGGGACAATTGTATTAATTTGGATCTCACCAAAATTCTATCATTCCCAAATAGAGGGGGGTCATCCAAAGACAGGGAGCATTGTAAGCTCTTTTATCAGTGGTTCTTATGTAACCACCCCTATTTTAGCGTTATTGTATTGTATTATATAGACAACAGCAAATCAGCGGTCAACAGCCTCCCCAAATGACATCGTGAAGAGAGAACAATTTCACAAGAAAGAGCCCTTTATATTTAGAAAGCTGAAAGTTCTTCTATACCAGTCCTGCAAGTTTGAAATGCTGATGTGAGCCCGCAATGCTTTGTGTAACCCTTTTGCGCATGGTCACTGTACGCCTCCAACATGGCGGATACACACAAGGATTAGAACGTCTTATAAACTTTTCCCTGAAACACAATGGCGAAATCGATAATTGTACCTGCGTACATCGTCAATGATACTTGAACTAGATATGGATGGCTCTGACCAGGAGTTKCAGAGTTTGCTTTTTCAATGCGAACAGGTTTGTTTGTACGCGTTTTGTAGTAGCTATCGTTCATGTTAAGCTTAAGTAATTAGCTTAAACTTGATTCTATAGATATAACTTAAGTTCTTATTGCTTTATGTACAATTCAAATATATGTAACAATGTCTGCAGTCTTTGCTTGTTTTCTTTGCTTGTAAGAGACACTTTGTTTCACTTCGTTTTGGCTTCAACTCTAGATCAAGACTTTTGACACCGRCCATAAATAGCTAAACGGAGGAATTTCTAGAAATGATTTAAGAAAATAAGCATATGGAGGGAGTATTAAAAATACTAAATTTTTTCAGAATAATAACTTAAAATATTATTTTATATCCTTTTAAATGCATCCATTCAAGTAGACTGGTCCTGGCTAAGGTATAGTCATGCTTGGCCTGCACAATCCAAAAAGCTTTAAAAGATGGAGAATTACAATGAAATATACTAACATTGCACCCACTTGTGTCAGAGAAAATTGCCAACTTTTTTCTGGGAAAAAATTGTGTAGGGATTGTGTTTTTTTTTGACAAATGTAAGCCAGTGGTACATGTGTACTCTTACAAGCACTGAGATGCTCTTGACTGCCATCTCTTGTGCTGCATTTCTGCTCTTAGCTGCTATCTAAATTAATCGAATAATGGATTCTGACATTGCACATTCCTTAACTAGACATTATTTATAACCTATTTACTGCATGGATCATGTATGGATGGATGCCCTCATTGTTGTTATTATTAATTGGCACATGATTCTATAAAAGGAACTGTTTTCCTTACACCAATCTAGAGGCAAGTGCTTGTTTGCCCTGACACTSGTCTAGAGGCCAGTGCTTGTGGTATAATATTCACTATTGTTCATACCCCTTTTCCCATTCAAAGCGAGCAACTGCTGCTTTAGTTGACAACAGTCTCTCGTGTGTAGAGACCTATCCAAGACAAAAGGAAGCACAAAAAATGTTGTCATTACAAAAGACCAATGAATTTGCATTTTCTCCGATTCTGTATTCCCAGAAGGATCAAACTCTTGCTGAGGCTAAGCCTCAAATTGGAGAAGATTCAAATTTCTAGGGCTATTGTAATGTCAACATTTTTTCGTGCTTTCTTTTGTTCTAACGCAAGTAAGTCTATTGTCTACTAAAACAGCGGTGGTGTGCATTGATTTGGAAAATACATGTAGAACATAATTAATATTAAAACTATATAGTACTGTAGATATGTGTAGCCATCCATGACTTTAATGACTGAAAACTATAATAATTATAATGCATTAAGCCATTTRATTGCAGTGTTATGCTCAGTGAAATGTTACCTTCTTCACACATTTACAAAGCATACTTGCATGTCTGTTCTTTTTTTAAATTTGTTAATAACAGGCATTATTGACACTATACAATCACAAGGGCACTGAAAACAGACAAACTGCACATCAATGGCTTCTGCAGACACAAAAGTCACCACAAGCCTGGCAATTGTGCTGGAGGCTCATGGCCAAGGACAAGGTTTGCTTTGAATTTTACAGCATTGTTACTAGTAACTGATTAAAAAATCCTTATATCTGTTTTACTTTCTATTTCATGAAGGCAGCAGAAATTCAATTTTTTGGTGCATCGATGCTACATTTCAAGATTTCCAAATACTGGTAATTACATTTTAAGATAGAAAAGCAAATTTAGTCTTTTATAAATTCATGACAAGTGTGCTTATTCCACATGGAAAACAATCTATCTTTATTTGCTTCAAAACCTAGCAAAGGTCTAGATATCACTATTAAAACTTAGACCTTTGCTAGTACTGGATTGTCTCACTGATGGCTACTATATTGTAAATAGTGTTCTACCAGATTTACAATGTCAGTCATATGACTTAACAGCTCTTTTTGGGCTAATGCTTTAAAAATTATTAAATGAGTTTTATATATTAAACAAATTACTGGATGAATTGAGTCATTTATATCTGGCAATATAAATTTAAAATGTTTATTAATATCAATATATTTGGTTATGATCAGGTCGGAGTTGCCAGACCAGCAATATGAACCATTAAAATCAGAAATCCTTAAGCACATTCTAGCTTATTCTGCTGGACCAAAGATTGTTTTAACAAGACTTTGTGTTGCTGTAAGTATTGAAACATTAGATGCATTTCAAATTGATATCATAATGTAAATTAACTATAATGTATGTTAAAACATTAATTATTGAGGTGGCATTGTAAACTAAAGACCATTGCAGCATTCACTTGGTTGACTTTGCAATTATCTTGTATTGTTTAATTTTATTATGAACTTTCAAAAATATTGCACAGTAACTAGCATTACAATAGACTCATCTCCTTCAAGAGTAACTTAAATCAAGGGCGCTAGAACTGAAATTATGACCTATAAGATCCAAAAATTGCTTAATTTATCCAACATAAGATAGTCGATAATAAATTGTAAAGTTTTACTTATCTGAAATATACACTGAAATGTCCTTTTAGACACTAAAAAGCACTTGATTTTACGAAATTCATCCAAATGATCGTTACTCAAGCGGTTGTTGCTGAATTTATTACCGCTGTCCTTCTTGTACCAGCCACTGCTGTCTCGCCAGGAACGTTATTCATTAACCGGATTAAAATCACTTTGCCCTGGCTGAACACCAAAAGAGACAGGGGCAGGCAATAACTAGAATGTCTCATAATTTGTGCAAAAGGCTGTACAATTCAAATATATGTAACAATGTCTGCAGTCTTTGCTTGTTT